TTTTTTTTTTTTTTTTTTTGCTATTGTCTCGTCTTTTTACATTTAAAGTGCTATGGTAATAAAAATTGAAGAAATTGTTGCACCTGTTCAGCTTTTGCTTTTTGTGCAATAAAATATAGGTCTGCAATAGCTTTTGATAAGTTCATTATCTTGCTATAAAGTGTCTTCGATATGTTAGACGCACAGTTGGAAGAGTTAAAAATAATAAAGTCTCACCTGCCGCCATCACTTTCACGAAAAAGTTGATCTAGGAAGAGGATAATCCTCTAAACCACTTCTGTCATTTCAGTTTCAATGGTGGCTTACTATTCAAACTAATGTTGACTTGCTTACGGATGCGATTTTCTCCTTTAAAAGAAGGCCTACTGTATTGCCAGTTTTCATGTGACGTCTCATTTTCCAAAATTGAAAATTACTTATCCTACTGAAAGTTTAGTTTTATCAAATGTAAGACTCTCTAATGACTTGACGTTTTACAACGTTTAAGCTCGACAGCGTTCTTCATTTTGTAACAGAGCACGTATGAATTTCCAAATTTATGGGTTATATGACAGCAAATATGGGGGCCAGGGAAGGCTTTTGCGTAGGTCAAAAGATGAGTCATCGCGTAATTTTTTGCTAACTGAACAGTTCTTGCTCCAGAAGAAGAATGAATTGTAATGTTTTGGAGTTCTGGAGTAATAACGTTTCGTTTAAATAGCAAAACTCAATGACAGATTAAACTGTTACTTAACAGGTGCCGTGTTTGTGTCCCTCCGTGGGGCACCAACATGGCATTTCCATACAAAGCTCCATGAATTTGGGTGAAACAATTCCCCAAATAACGCTCGAATGAAAAACCGCACAGACCTCAATCTTGGTAAGATATTTATATAACAATAATCTATCAAATCCCAGATTCTTGAGTAATTTATTGAATGGTTACGACTTTTATTTTTGATTGCGTGACAGTGCAAACTAGCAATCTTCCCATAAGTCATTTTAATCCAGCGCCATAGTGTCTAAGAATAGTACCCAACCCCCCAAAGTTATATTGCGGACATGTACAGATAATGAGGTACTCGATCGAGGGGTCACCGATACCCTAAATTAAAAATTTTGGCTCAAAAAATAAATAAATAAATAAATAAATAAATAATAATAATAATAATAATAATAATAAAAACACTGTCTCCAAGGTTTTTTCCCAAAAATATTGAAGACAAGTCCGCGGAAGCATAATTACTCTGGCGAATTTTCATATTCTCAACACGTGATACAGCATAACAAACCTCTGCTCACTAAATTAGTGAGTAAAGTATAGGGGTTTTGGCAGTGATTATAAGAGTCGGTTGCATACTCTAGCCAATCTTCTTTCCAAACTCTGAGTCTGCCAATTTGAGCTATGGCGTTCGGTTTGAGCGAGCAGTTACAGTCAAATTTGTCGGAATTGGAAGTTTGACCTTTTAGTGAAGTCACAACGTGACCAGCTCCCAGTTGGCTTGAGAGCTCAGTTGGTAGAGCACTGCACCGGTATCGGAAAGGTCATAAGTTCGAATCCCGTTCAAGCCTGAATTTTTTTTCAGGCTTTAATTTCACAGCTTCTTAAGTTGTATATGTAACTGCGATGATCAATCATGTATTCAGTTGTAAATTGAGAGGTTGTTGTTGTGTTATAGTACAGGGACTAAGAACTAATTAAGTTATTATTATTAGAGGATAAAATTAGTAAGTAAACGGCAATCTGCCCTAAGGTTCCCACTTAAAATTTATAGTGACTTTTCTACCTTCACACTTGTAGCAATTCGACTCCCAGATACTGGCATTTCACAACATCGTATTCCAACTGAATGGAATTAAACCGAGGTTAAGACCACAAGTACGCATTGCGGACCTATTTCTTGGATGTTGGTGTCAAGAAGACAAGCGCTGTTGATCGCGTCCTCCCGCTCAAATCCTACCGGAAACGAACTTGATTAGTTAACCTCCGTACTTTGAGAAATAGGACGTTATATTCGGAAACCTTAATTTTGCTTTTATTTCAATAAATATACCCTCGTAATGTTCAATTCTTTAGCTTTCGGAAAATAGGTACTTTCCTGGGGTTTACGCCAAACGTCCGACAGTAAAGCGGCGCCAACTAAACAAATGATGGTGGTTTTGGGGTATACTGATACCTTCAGCGGCCGTTGCCAGCTTCTTGCCGTCCCAAGGGTGATTATGTTTTGTTTCATACCTCTATTAAATGGTTAGGAAGATTTGAACTTGGACGTTTTTGACCAGATGAAGGTAAAAGAATGACAATGTGGAAACGTAATTATTTCTTTGGCTTTTGTTAACGCTATGGACCGTACATGCATGTATTATAACCATAATTGTTCTACTTTTTCTCCACTTGCATTTGTTTGTACTTATATTTGATAAACTGAAAACTGGAAGACGCCCAACGTTGTTTTCGGGTGAACCTCTATTAAACCGCCACCTCTATTAAGCGGCCAGTTGTCTCGTCCCCGAGAGTGGCCGCTTAATAGAGGTTCGACTGCATTAAATTTCAACGCGCGGCTTTAAACTTCCATACAAGTCTTTTGTTTGTCTTTTGCTGACTGTCGCGCTTTGTTTCTAATAAGATTGCGAAACTTTGGGAGCTGAAGACTCGGGCTACATTTCTGCGTGGATTCCTTTGCTTCTAGCGAATTAATAGGTACTTATATTTGGCGGAATTGTACGTACGAAACTTTCCTCGATTATCAATGCGCCACACTGTGGCTTCTTTGACATTTCAAACACTTCCTCTGTTAAACCCTCTCAAGTGACGAAGATTAGTAAATATTCTATTCGTCTAGCTCAAGACTGATTTTCTCGTTAACGAGTTACACCAATGGCAGTCTGTTTTTCTCTCGAAATGAAGCAGGGATTATTAGTCGAGATTAGCACTGAGATATCGTCCTTATGAGTTCGTGTTCACGGATGAACACTCATGTGACCATAAGAGAAAAAACCAGCTGCAAGCAGTCAAGAAATCAATATGAATATTGTGGAAGCCTCACACACTTTTTTAGTCCGTCACCTGCTGCTTGACATTGTGTAGTCTGAGTTTGATGGTCCGTCCAAACCGATTAAAGAAAGGAAATTCAATTCAGCAAACATTGTCATTGTCAGGGCATTATTTTCGCGTGGACTTCTTTCAGTGATTCAAGCGAATTGTACGAAAATTGATCAATTTTTTTTTCCCTTCATGATTAATGTGCCATACTATGTGAGGCTTTCTTGATATTTAAATATCTCCTCTCCCAGGACGCGTGACGAGGGTCGGCAAAAAGTCTAATGGCTATTTCAATATATATTTTCCCAGCAACCAGTATGAAAATCGAAAAAGTCTTCCGTATTACACTCTAGATCTTTTGTAGCCCGTCATCTACAGTGTACTAACTGACACAATTGTTAGAAGTTTGAGTTTGGTGATACGAGTAAACATGAAAGCAGGTAATTCAGTTCTGCAAACATTGTCAGGTTTGCATTTGAACGGTTGGATCAAATCTTTAATAGATCATTTCTTCTGTTTCTGCATTTTGGCAGCTTTACGTTGATACGGTTAAAAGCGACGCGAGTACCGAAGGTTTTCTGAAGGACAGCCCTGAATGTCTGATCTACAGTGACCTTAAACAACGACACAGAATATACTTTTAAAAATGCTGTTGTTGAAGGAAATCCTCATTTTATTTTGGATCACGGCGATCGGTACAGTATAGGTTTTCTTTTTTTTAAACTACAGTAGTGGTAATACAAACTACTGTATTTTAACGCTGATAGGATAGGATCAGAAAGAAACATAGCCTTAAGACTCTGACAAAATATTCAAAACCTACTCAAATAAGTTATCTCTGCTAAAGCATTTCAATATTCTCTGGTAGAGAAATGATTGCAGTCTTTGGATTTCATTTTAAACATGGAGCACCCTGTGGGTATTTCCCACCGATTACTTCATTGTAGGGACATGAATTACAAAGATTTACGTAATTTTGCCTTCATCGAAACAGTTAAAACAACTTATTCGTGTCGATTAAATAAAGATCAGTAAATGCTGGGGTAATAGTCTGTAAAAGAAAAAGTTGTTATGAGCTCGTTGCCAAAAGAGAAGATCACTTCCATAAAATCTTGTAAGAAACCCGGACCGGAGGAAAGAAAAAAAAAAGAAGGAAATTAAAGACGAAGAATCATTCCATGAAAGCAAGAAGAAGGAACTAACCGCTAGCTACAAAGGCTCACGGCTCGACCAACCAAAAATGGTAGACATTATGGTAGTCCAACAACATTTCACCTTAATGAGTTTATTGAAGTACGTTTTGTTTCGAACGGCCGGTCGATCGATTGTAGTTGCAAGTTTCGCCGTCGGCTTCCTCCACTTTTTTTGTTCCACTGACTGCAGCGCTTTGTTTCTGATAAGTTTGCAAAACAGTAAGGGGTTACGTGCGCGCGTGTGAGGTGGGTTGAGTGAGTTGTCAAACGTGAGCGGTGTTGTTGTGCGTCCAATCAACCGAAAACTCGGACTTTATTTTTGCGTGGATTGCTTTCCTTCAGATTAATTAATAGGTTACTTAGATTTTCTACGATTATTGCCATCCTGCTTGAGGCTTTTTTTCCTTTCAAATACTTCCTCTCTTTAGCCCACCGAAGTGACGAAGATTGGCAAATATTTGATTCTTCTAAGTCAATATACATTTCTCAGTAACCAATGTAAATATCTAACAATTTGTTGTCCGTCATCCGCTGATTGACATGGTGAAGTTTGCTGAGTCGTACGTGGAGACAAGAAGGCTGGTAATTCAATTCGGCAAACACTGTCAGTTTTGCGTTTGAAGGCTTTAGGTTTGCGAGCGCTAACCAATGGATCCGAAAAATTATATCTTCTCTTTCTACATTTTATCAGCTTTACGTTTTTTTTTTCCTTATTTCCTTTCGGTCTTGTTTTTAGGGCGATCGAGTACAAAAGTTTTTCCTGAAGATCTACAGT